ACCCCCCACCCTCCTCCCCTTCCACTACCCCTAGTTCGTTTCCAGAGTTAGGAGTCTTTCATATTCTGTCTCCCTTACTGATATTTCCCACTCCTTTTTTCTCCTTTCCCCTTTATTCCCTCCTGAGGATTTTGAGCTCCATCACGAAGTTGCTATATCATTGCTGTACAGTCTATTTTTTGTCTGGCTTGTCTTTTTAGCTAGATTGTGAGCTGCTGACGAATATAAACATGCGTTAGGCATCCTGTCCTTCCCCTTTCCTATTAGCGTGGGTTGGCACAGAGTAGACACTCAGTTCTTGAAAGATTGGAAAGGGGGTAGGTATTCGACATGGCCTGAAATCCCAGAGCCTCGGCTTTCTTCTTTAGCATAGAGGAACATCTATTGAATACTTATGCAACTGCTGTTGAAAAAAATAAAATAAAAAAGACAGGAAACCTGTCATATGTGTCAGCCCACCAAGTGTTGTGAGTGTCAAGCCCTGCTTCTAGAAGGTGAACAGAGCAGAAATGAAACAAGGAAGCGAGTTTTGTAGTTTGTGTGTTTCGTTCTGAGCTGGGGGATTATTCCTGGCTGTGAGTCTGATTCCTTTTATAAGAGAACTCGTTGCTAATGTTTGGAAAGCATGCAGGATCTTGACACTGCCTTAGAAGAAGGGATCATTTCTGATCATGTCCTTACCCATCGGCTTGCGGCGACTTCGTTCTCACTCATCATCAGGTCTCCTTGGTGTGTTAGGAAGAGCCCAGGACAACCCAGTCACAGGATGAGTCCTGACATCAGTTACTTATTCAACCTCTGCCAGCCCCCTAACCTCTCTCCACTGAGCTTGCTGTGTCTGCGGAAGGGGGATGCTGGAGCAGATGGCTGCTGGGATTCTGAATAGTGGCACCCCCCACCCCCACTAGAAGCAGGAAGTTACTCAGAGGTCATTAAGAGGCTTGGTGACTCAGCCTCGGGGACAGGAGGAAGACCGGCTCCCTGAAGTCCTGGTCAAGAATCAGAGCCACGAAAGCAAGCTTCCTGTCAGGCCTTTATGTCCGCATCATTTTGAGAGCTTGCCCACTAGCCCGTGTGCTGTTCCAGCACTCTAAGCACTTGGCCCCGCCATGCCTTCCCCCACTCAGAAAGAGCAGGGCTTGGGGGGTTGGAGGCGGTGACATTAGCTGTTTTCTGCCCTGACCCTCTGCAATACACAGGATGTGGGAATCCAGCAGACTCGCTAATAGGATCCAGTAGCCAGGTCTGCTCATTGTTTATAGTGAACCCCATTGCACTGAGGGCTCAAAGGCAGTATTTATGAGCCACTCTTGTTGGCTCTCCATGGAGAAACCTCTTCCATCTCCTGCTTTCTACATTGGAAAGTGGAGTAGAGAACCCATGATCTCTCGGGAATCCCACATCTTGGTCAAAACTGCAAATCCGAGTCAAGTACCAGGCGCGGTCCCCACAGTGGTGATTCTCTATTTGTTTTGGGGGCAAGCCCAAACTATTAAGGCTGTCCTCACTCCTGGTTCTTGGTGGTTGTGAGTCCCTGACTGACAGCCGCAACATGCAGAGACCTTGCTCTAGAGGAAGCCAGGGAAGCCCAGGACTCTAAGAGGTGAAGGAGGTAGTAGTACAAGAATGAAAAGCCTCTGTGTGGGGCTAGAAAGACTTGATTCTTTGCTTCCTACTTACAGTCACATTGTTGCTCATTTGTAAAAATCATTCCACTCATAAAGTTAACCAGCCATTAGTGAGTGAGAGCTGTTCCCACTAATTGGTGGGCCCAGGTGGAAAGGAGCACAGAGTAATGGGCCAAGTGCCCTTGACTCCCGTTTCTGGTTCCTTCACCAACATGCTGTGTGGCCTGAGCCAGTTTCCCCTAATTTCTCTGGGCCTCATTTTCCCCAAGAAGATAATTTCCCACTCATTCTTCTTGAGAGATGGTAAGAGATCAAAGAAGAGATGTTTGCAGAGCTTTAAAGATGCCCAGGTGCATTAGAAAGGCCTTGATTTGCTAGGTATTAATTAATAAATCCTTTGATTATTGATAAACCGGTATGTTAGCTTTTAATTAGCTCCATGGGCCTCATTGGCCATAGAAGTCATGCAAAATCATAAGAGAACTAGCTGAACTATAATGATGGTCGTGTGTGTGTGTGTGTGTGTGTGTGAGTGTGTGAGTGATGTGTCTTTATGTGGATTCACAAAGCACATTGACAGATTTAGCTAGCTGGGAGCTGGGTTAAGACAGCTGGGTGAGCTGGGACCGCCTCCAAAACCAGCACATCAGAGCCCAGTGCACCCGGTTTACAAAGAGCATACAAGGTCGAGCATCATCCGTTTGGAAGATGTCAGCTTGTACTCTGCTTGTACTCTGTCAGCCTCAGAGTAGAGGGGTTGGCAGGCTGGGCCTCTAAACTGTGGGGTACAGGGCCTGGGGGCAGAAATACCTAGCTCTCCATGAAGAGACAGTGCAGTTACCACAAGGGGTAAAGGTCCTCGTGGCCAACAGCTGCCTGGATGCACAGAGAGGTCAGGGGAGGTGGAGCGATGTTTAACTGCCTTCGTACCCTGACCCCAGCCCTTCCCATTCCCCCCTATACGAGGTGAAAAAGACCAGGCTAGTGTTCCTGCATGAACACCACCTCTTGGGGTCCCAGGACCCCGCTAATGCCCAAATGCAATTCTGTCCTAAAAGCCTATCCGTTCATTGACCTCATTCCCACCCTCCCTTCCTAATGTTTGATTTGCAAACAAACTCCCTGCTTATACTAGATCTGAGGGAAAGCCCCTGCTCTGCCCCTCGTTGGAAAGTGTCTACGAGCATGTAGCATGCTAGAGAGACACTAGGAACCCGCCACCAGGGTCAATGCCAGGAGCGGGAGGACAAAAGGACCGCAGTGGAGCCTGGAGTGGGCAGAGGTGAGGCTCTCCGCAGCACCTTGAGGGAGGTTTCCCTTGCCTTCTGCTTTCCAAGGAGTGGGAGGGAGGAGGTGGCCAGGGAACCGACCCTTCTGAGCATGGGCTCTGGGATTCTCCACCCAGTGGGAGGGGGCTTCAAACAAAAAGCCCAGGTGAGATGTTAGAAAGCTCAAGGAAATGCTGTCACTTGCCTAAGGTGAGAGGACTTGGATGTAGGGCACCCTGTACTCCCACAGATGCGGTCAGGCTCCAGGGCAGCTGTGCCTGGGCACTGTGGCCTGTATACTACCTCCAGTTTAGGAGATCGGTGGTTAGTTGTGGCGCTTTTGTGTTTGTGGCTAAGTTCAGGTGGAATGTCTATAAATATCTAACAACAACGGGGGAGAAGAGTGGTCAGAGAGGAGCTGAAGGTGTTTCACTGAGGGATTCGGCTTAGCAGAGCATCCAATAGGAGCGTGAGACTCAGATCTGCGACTTGAGTGATGGGCTCTGCTCCGGTGGCATTTCATCCGTGACCTCACACAAAGCAGTGGGAGCCAAGGGAGGGCTTCGGGTCACTCGCCTTCCTTGGAATGTCTCTCTACCCGCTTGGAACCGACGCTAAAGGCAAAAAGAGAAGCACAGCTTCCCTTGGGCTTCAGAGCGAAATGTTCTCTGAGCTGTGGACCAAAGAGTAGAAAGTAGTAAATGTCCTCCTCCCTGTTAGGCAGACAAAATAATTGTAACATTCTGCAGAGCAGGTCTTGAAAAGAAAAGAATGCAGGCATTCTGGAAACAGTTTTTCTTCTAGTCCAGTTTGACAAAGGGGTGGAGTCCTTTTGGCCAAGCCCTGACTAGCTGGCGTGTCTCGGTCTGGGAGGGCAGGGCTGATGGGGCACCGGGACGTTGCTGTCACCTCTTTAAGGAGGAGAAAATGTGAGTAGGTCAGGGAGCGCCAGGAGCCCAAGCTGGGAGAACCCCGGGGGCCAGGATGAGACCCTACAAAGCACATGAGCAAAGAATCTGCAGCTCCCAGGCCGAAGAAGCACAGGATTCCTGTTTTACCCTACCTGGGTCAAAATCGACCCAGATTCTAGGTGGCTAGAAGGGGCTGCGCTCTGCATCAAATGTAAGCATAAATAATAGAAATATGAACGTGTGTGCACGTAACTTTAACCTCTTTTGACATTTTCCAGAAGGTTAAGTAACTTTTTTTCCCCCTTCCGATGAAAGGAACCCCCTCCCAGAGAGCTGCTGCCCTAATCACTCCCAGACCTTGCAGTCAGCTTCTTCGGTAACCGGCTCCCCGGTGGGAGGAGGAGTGCCCACCAGGCCCGAGGGCACTCAAGGGGCAGTGGCAGGAACTCTCTCCCTCCCACTTTGCAAAGCGGCCTCATTTCTACTCCCCCCCCCCCACCAGGGCAGCAGGCCCCTGGCTGCAGCTCCCGCCTGCGGCCGGACTCCGGCTGGGCTTTGTGCTGCAGGAGGCAGGGGCTCGGCCGGCTGTAATCTGGAGTTGCCTACCCTGAAATAGGGTTCCAGCAGCCCCCGCCCTTCTCGGGGAAGCTTCCCGAGCCCAATCACCGGGGCGAGTCCCGAGCTCTTGCACATTAGTAGGCAGGAAGTGGAGTCCCGATGGGAGGCTGGGAATTTGACCGCCTTCCCATTTCAGCACTGGAGGGAGGAAGCTGAGCGCCGCTCGGCGCCCACGGCTCCCGCGCCCCTCCGGGAGCTGCCCTGCACCCCGCCCGCCCCGCGCCTCCGAGGGCAGCGGCCGGGAGCTGGGGAGCCCCGTGGGGCACGCAACAAAGGCAGAGCGGAGGGGACCGACTCCAGAAGAACTTGTTTTGTTCCCGTTAAGAAACCTGCAGGAAAATCCACACCCACGTTGCCGGCTTTGAATTGGAGAGCGGCGCGCGCTTGTGCATGTGTGTGTGTGTGTGGTGTGTGTGGGTGTGTGTCTCAAGCAAGAGGCGGAGGACTTGCAAACAACTGTGCGGTGTCTGTTTTGATAAGGAAGCTGCCAGCTAGAGAAGTTAAGCAGCAAAGAGAGGACTAGAGAGCCGCGAGCCAACCACTTTTGAACGTGAACCGCATTGTTTTCTGTCCAGATATTCCAATGGAGGCAGTTGGAAAACCTGTATTTCAGAGAGAAGAAGTTTTCCGTGGAAGTTCATGACCCCCGCAGGTAAGCTGGAAAAGTCCTTTTCTTCTGGGAGTGTCTGGCCCACCCGGCATATTATTTATATTACTATTTTCTGGCTGTCATTGTCCATTTTGGGGAGGGGGGGTGCAGGGAGAGGAGGGGTAGAGGCTGGTTGCCCTTGGGGAGTCTATTCAAATCTGATGGCAAAGCTTTGTTTTGTAACGAAGTATGTTGATGGATGTGGTGGGTTCAAGTGTGCTTTGTGGGTATATGTGCATGAGTGTGTGTGTGTGTGTGTGTGCACACGCATGAGAGGGATTGGCAATTCCGTGATCATCTCATCTGGCTACACGTGTTCAGTGTCCATGTGTGTTGTCTTTGTATGCCGGGGCATTTCTAGGGAAGATGGATGGCACTTGGTGACAAACACCAAATGAAACTGGGTGGTAGTCTGAGTCCTTTTAGTGGAGCTTTTGCCAGTGAAGAGTCTGAAGGATGGCCTGTCAGGGCTTCTGAGAATATTTCGGGGAGGACAGTCAGCATCAAAAGGAATCTATACCTAAAGCAGTTGTGTTGAACTGTTTGATTCCATGAGCTGTAATTTTAGGGTGTTAGTTAGTGTTGTGGGTGGATGTGAAAGAAATAGACTTCATTTTCTGCCCACGTCACGCTGTGTCCCAGGGAGCACCAGCGTGAAAACCAGTGTTCTCTAAGTCACATGCCAAACAATAGGGTCCCGGTTTGGAATGCAGCGAGCCCTGCGTGGAAGGTTCTCGGGCTGCACATACCGGCTGCTTTTCCTCTCTTTGTCTGCTAGCAGTCTTAGACTTAGAGGCAGCCCAGAAACAGGACCAAAACTCCCTGAACACAGGCCTGACACCTAAGGATAAATTGCTTTCAAGAAGTCCAAAATGAACTTACAAGAAGGTGGCCCTAGGAAGACCGTGAGAAGGTCAGACTCTGTAGAGAAGCAAACAGGATGTTTAGGCACCATTGAGACCCCAGCCTTGGCCTGCCAAAGAGGCATGGCCCCAGCTCCACTCACGCATGGCTTCCAAGCACCCGAAACAAACCTCTTTGCCTCCCAGAGAGCTCAGAGAGAACAAGAGGCTGGCCCCCCAGTCAGAGGGTTGAGCTTGTGCAATGTCTCTGCTCCTGCCACCAGCGATAACCCAGCAGGGGTGACATGCCACTTTGCCCCACCATGTAATCTGTGTGAAACAGCCACTCCCGCGGAGGGGAAGAGTGCTCGGCCCACACCCCACAGTCACCGCACCACCAGCAGGTGGAGAACATTGTAGAGATCCAGTCTGCACAATCAGATGAAGGCGGTGACATTAGCAGAGTCAGGCTTGCCCAGCATTTCTCAGGGTCCTGCAAAGGGTCTCTCGGTCTAGAGACTCTGCCTCTGCAGAGCAGGGATCCATTTGTGCAGGCCAAGTTGGGGAGAGGCAGATGCTGAGAGTAATGCTCCGGCCAGGCTTTTCCAGGTGAATGGAATCAGACTTAGAAATTTGAAGGGAGGCAAAACCTATGTTTGAAAAGAGTGAAACGAATATTGCCACAGTGAGTCAGATGCAGAAAGGGGCTGCCTGACAATGTAAACGGAGAGTTGGATCATCTAAGGAGCTGTGCGTAAGGACCAGACAGACAATCCTCGGTTGGGAATTGTGCTAACTCCAAGAAACACCTTGGATACATCCTTGAATGGTGTGTGTGTGTGCGCGCGCATGCGTGTATGTTCTTGGGTCTGTCACCGTATCCATGATGTAATACTAACTTCCCTTCACTTTCCCAAGACCCAAGACAGAGGAAAGAGTCCAAACTCCACACATGACTAATACATGGGTTTTTAGCTCATTTTAGGTGTTCTGGGTACAGAAAGAGGTCCTTTGTCCTGAGAAGACCGGGTCCTTTGGCCTTCTAGCACAGTTGAGGAGAAAGGCAGAAAGAACTTGCTATTTATTGAGCATTTGCTCTGGGCAGGCACTGTTGTAAACACTTGGGATACATTATTTCATAGGGTCCTCACTGGAACCCCAGGAAACAGGTGCTGCTAGGTTCCTGTCCTACAAGCAGGAAACTGAGGCATGAAAGAAACAAAGTCACCTGCTCTGGGTTTCAAAAAGCTGGCAAGCAGTACAAGCAGGATTTGAACCCAGGGAGTCTGGCTCCAGAGCTCAGAGGCATTACCCCAGGCTACACACAAAACACAGGGAACTGAGTGCCAGATGGCACAGGCCATAAATACCAAAGGTACCAGAAGCCAGGCTGGTCAGGAGAAGTTTCTGGGAGGGAGGGATTCTGAACTGAATTTCAAAGCCTGACTAGGATTTAAAGCTGAAGGTAGGCCCTTGGGGGGATGAAGGCTTTGTCTGGGTATGTAAGAGAGAAGCGGGAAGGGAGGCGCCCGAGGCAGGCCAAGCGCAGAATGTGATCACACCTCCCCGAGGAAATCAGCCCTCTGCCAGCCTAGAGGCAGGTGGGCAGGGAGGTGAGGAGGGAGGCCCAGGAAGTGTCTGCCCTGATGTCAGAGGCAGAAACCCAAGTCAGCTGCAGCTTTAAAGACACCTTTTCCAAACGTGCACCCAGGCAAGCAGAGGGGATGGCTGCAGGTTAGCTACTTGGCCTGGTGCCTTTGCTCTGCCCCCAACCCTCCTACCCAGGTAAGTGCGCTCTCCCCAGGGTCATAGGGTGCTCCTTACACTAACCACCTCCCAGGTTTATTTGGAGCAGGGAAGATGAGTCTGGTTGACTCCCCCTTGCGGGGGGTCCCAGCAGGAAATGGAGTCAGAACCGAAGTGATGGGATGGCAAGTGAGGAAGAGGATCATGCCCTGAAGAGGCCATGGGTGGGACACAGCACGGACAGAGAAGATGACATCGGGTCTGTGCTCCTCTACACACACTTCCAGCTCAATACCCACGTTGGTTCTGTGATTCTCTGGGCTTGGCAAATACTCTATTTCTAAGGTTTTGCAAAACAGAGAAGTTGGTGAGCTGGGAAGAGCCTAAAGGGAAAGATGCAGAGAAGAGAGAAATGAATAACAGCACAGGAGAAGACTCTCATGGGTGTCTGATGTGCTGCTCCTGCAGAACCTTCCAGACCTGGCTGGCATCCTGAACCCTTCCTCCCTTGCCTTCCCTGAAAAGCATGAGCATGTGGCCCCTACCACTCTCAGGCTTTACTCCAACACGCTTCCAGTGACTTTTCCTCTCTAATTCAGCTTTTCTGGGAGAAAGGATCACGCTTATTCCCAGGAACAGCCATTGGTATCGAAGCCAATGTGGGCGTTCTGATCATTTTCTTTTCACTTCTACAGAGCTACAGGGGTGCTCCTCCTAACTCTTGTCGGCTTCCTTCCCAATATTTTCAACTGTGCACTCTCCTGTCTCATGAGCTGGCATTTCCTCCCAACTTTTAACCCAAGTGAGGACTACCTTGCCTGGAATTAGTAGCATTAATGAACCACCAGATATGAATTTCTCCCTGAATGTGGGTCTGAAGAAGACCGTCTGTTCAGTCTTTAGCCCCCAAGTAAAATGATGGGAGCAGCTCTGGATTTTCCTCCAGGGAAAAATGCCATAAAAAAAGTTATTCAGGAGGCCTGCCTACCCCAGGTTTCTTCCAAATTAGGTATCTTAACCTGAGAGAACACTTTTTTCTCCTGATGTTCACATCAGATACCCCAGGCCCCACCCCAGCACCTTGCCCCGCACACATATACATGCAGTGCAAACACTCATCCTCAGATTTCACTTGCAAAATTACCTGCGTATCCCATGGAATGCACGTCACTGAAAGCATGATCATGTCACTTCCCCCCCCCCCCGACACCATGGATATGGCAAATTATGTTGGGACCCACACTTTCCAGTTTTCATTTTTACAGTCTGATTGCCTCTCTGCACCCCAGGCCGATCCACACCCTATCTACCCTGTAAACGTGTGTGTGGAGGTGGGGTTGGTGCGGAAGATTGGCTGGACTCCTTTCTGCCGCCTCTCTCTGGATTCTTTATACCCTACCTGCCCTTCGACCAAATTTGAAATTGATAACCAACTCTTTCAAGGAACAGTGAGTTAGAGCAATTTAAGAAGTCTGGGTTCCCTCGAGGTTTCCTGCAGGCTGCAGCCTGTGGTGGTGATTAGAACAGAATTTACTTATCCTTCACCATAGGCAGCATTGCCTGCTTAATAAAGGACTTTGTCAAAGGCTTTTCCTGTTTCTCAAGTTTGTTTTGGCCCAACGCCAGGATCTGAAGCTCAGAAAGGACCGTCCAGTGACCTAGAATGACCCATCTTATCCCAGACGAGGCAGAGGCTTGGACCAATTCTGAACCCCAAGGAGACAGAAAATCCAAAGAATAGCATTATTCATGATAGCCAGGTTATGGGAATGATCTAAGTGTTCATTGAGGTATGAATAGATGAAGAAATTGTGCTGTGTATATATACAAGGGAATATTACTCGGCCGTAAGAAAGAAGGTGATCCTGCCACTTACAACAATGTGGATGAACATGGAGGACATTATGTTAAGAGAAATAAGCCAGACACGGGGGAGGGGGAGGAAGCTGCATAATCTCACGCATATGTGGAATCTAAAAAGTCAAATATATAGAAGCAGAGGGTAGAAAGGTGGTTATATGGGCCCGGGAAGAGAGGAAATGGGGTGGGGGGATGTTGGTCAGAGGTACAAAGTTCCAGTTATGTAGAATAAGCCTACAGAGCTATGGGGACTGTAGTTAATGACCCTGTTCTGAATAGTGGAAATGGGCTAAGAGAGTAGATCTCAGGTGCTCTCATGATACAGATATGTGAAGACATGACATACATTCATTAGCTTGACAGTAATAATCATTTCACTGGGTATATATCAACTCCTCTTGTACACCTTAAATATATATAACTTTTTAATTTAAATTCAAATTAGTTAATATTGAGTGCAGCATGGTTTCAGGAGCAGAATCCAGTGATTCATCACCCACATACAACCCAGTGCTCATCCCACCAAGTGCCCTCCTTAAGGCCCATCACCTATTTAGCTCCTCCCCCTCCTCTCCTCCAGCAACCCTCAGTTTGTTCTCTATTTTAAGAGTTTTGTATGCTTTGCTTCCCTCTCTGTTTTTATCTTCTTTTTCCTTCCCTCCCCCTCTGCTCCTGTTTTGTTTCTTAAATTCCACATATGAGTGAAATCATATATTTGTCTTTCTCTGACTTCACTTAGCATAATACACTCTGGTTCCATCCACGTTGTTGCGAAATGGCAAGATTTCATTCTTTTTGGTCACCAAGTAATATTCCATTGTATAAGGAGGCAGGGGAAGCAAAAGTAAAAATGAACTGTTGGGACCTCTTCAAAATAAAAAGCTTCTGCCCAGTGAAGGAATTAATCACCAAAAGTAAAAGGCAACTGAAGGAATGGGAGAAGATATTTGCAACTGACATGTCAGTTAAAGGGTTAGTATCCAAAATATATAAAGAAATATAAACAAATAATCCAGTTTAAAAATGGGCGGAAGACGTGAATAGGCACTTTTCCAAAGCAGACATCCAGATGGCCAACAGACACATGAAAAGAGGTTCAATATCACTCATCATCAGGAAAATGCAAATCAAAACCACAATGAGATACTACCTCACACCTGTCAGAATGGCTAAAATTAACAACTCAGGAAACAACAGGTGTTGGTGAGAATGTAGAGAAAGGGGAACCCTAATGGGCTGTTGAGGGAATGCAAACTGGTGCAGCCACTGTGGAAAGCAGTGTGGAGGTTCCTCAAAAAGTCAGAAATAGACCCAGCAATTGCACTACTAGGTGTTTATCCAAAGGATACAAAAATGCTATTTGGAAGGGGCCCATGTACCCCAATGTTTATAGCAGCATTATCAACAATAGCTAGATTGTGGAAAGAGCCCAAATGTCCATTGACTGATGAATGGATAAAGAAAATATATACAATCTTTACTAAACAATTAAAAAGATGACTTATGTTGGCAAGTTTCCTTAAGAGTGTGTGTATGTGTATGTGTGTGTATGCATGCGTATGAGTGCATGCATGTTCATCTGTCCCCTTTATGCCAGGGCTTTTATTTTTTTTATTATTAATTTTTTTATTTATGATAGTCACAGAGAGAGAGAGAGAGAGAGGCAGAGACACAGGCAGAGGGAGAAGCAGGCTCCATGCACCGGGAGCCCGACGTGGGATTCGATCCCGGGTCTCCAGGATTGCGCCCTGGGCCAAAGGCAGGCGCCAAACCGCTGCGCCACCCAGGGATCCCCTATGCCAGGGCTTTTAGATCCCATGACGTTTTCAGCAAAAGCTGTCACCCAGTCACTGGAGTCCCGCATCATAAACCTGGTTGAACCTTGTGATTCTTGCTGTCCCAGGGCTTCAGTGACAAGGAGGACGTTTGGGCACAGTGGCATCGCAGTGCATACGTGGTACGCATGTCCTGCTTTGATCAAGTCCATTTGGGCTATGGCCATTAGCCAACACCAATTCTACCTGGACAGAAAGCAGAGTAAGGTAAGTCCTTTTCTGGGGACTGGGAGGGACTGTGCAATGAGCAGACCTTTCACCAAGCCGCAGGCTTGCCCGAGGGCACGCCAGAGCCCATGTGTCCTAGCTGAGGGATTGGGGATTGAATTGGGGGGGAGGGGTGCCGCGGCCCTCGCCCTGGGATGTGCGCAGGTACACACTGGCCTTTCAGAATGCTAGGAGGGAGGAAGGAGACAGGCCCTTCCAGAAGGCACGTTCCATGCAACTTGGTCAAGGGGCCCCAGCCCAACCACGGATGCAGACTCGCAAACCACTTACCCTAGCCAGGTAGGGCCCTTTTGAGGAATTCGGAGCATGCTTCCAAACCTCAGGAACCTCTCCTGGGAACAGGCTGTCAAGCCCTTTACGGTTTAAACAGTGGCATATTGTTTTCTTTTTGAGGGGAAAAAAAAAAGGAAAAAGCAACCGTTTGCAATTAATAGACACCATCTAACTGTTTAGGATAATTGCTGTGAAAGCGCTCCAGGCTTTTCCAACTGCCAGCTCCATTTTTTTTTAAAAGTCAGAACTGGAAACATTAAAAAAAAAAAAAAAAAAACCCACACACACAGGCACCCAACCCTGTTTCCCTAAAGTAGACCTGGAGCCTCGGGCCTTAGTAAACAGTCATCCTCCAAGGGAGATTTGACCCAGCCCAAGTGCAGACACACAGGTGCATTTTCTGGCGGGTGGGAGAATGACGTCTCCTTGGTTCACACACGGCTTATGTCAACACTCAGCCCCCTCTTCCTGCAGCCGCTGCCTGCCTTCCCGCCAGGAGCCTGTGTCATTCATTAGCTCTCCGGTGAGGAGCCCCATCAGGGTGGGTCCGGCACCTTCCCAAGGATCCTGCTGGCTCCGGGCAGGAGGGGATACAGAGCTGTGGAGGGAGACTGGCCGTGGCCCATAGGGACTTTTTGTCCCATCCTGTGAGTTCTCGGGGGGCAAGGAGGTGGCCAGACCCCGGCTTTCCTGGGCCAAGATTCGTCAGATCGGTGCCCTCTTGGATCCTGGCCACTTCTTCTGCCTGGATGAGTCGCTCTCTCCCTGGCTTGGGAAGGGGAGTGGGAGGAAGGAGAGAGACAGTAAGAAAACAGGAGAAGAGGAAACAATCTCTCAACTCATAACTCAGTTTCAAATCTGAGCCCCTGCCCGTGTAGCTGTCACTTTCTTCTTTGTAACACGTTTTTCTCCTCTGTTAAATCTTCTTCCTGACCCCCTTTTTTGGTCATTTTCTGGGGTGAGTGGGCACAGAGTGGAGGTTTGTGTGTTGTTGTTAGGCATAATGGGAGCATTCCACGGCTTTCCTCGTGATGATGGACATTGGCACAGGGATTTGAAGCCCGATTACATCAAAAGAAACAGGGCCAAAGCCTTTTGACTCATGCTTTAGATTGAGACCGTGGGTGGGTGTCAGCATTTTGCCCTCCGGTTGCAGGAGTTGGAAGCCCAAACCTTAAAACATCGATTCCATCCTCTGCATTGTTTGAGAAGGGACGGTAAGGGGTAGAGACCTTGGCAGCCCTCCTGAACCCCACTGCCAATTCCTCTTGTGGGCAGACCCCTCACACCCTGACTGCACAGTTTTGAAAGGACAAAAAACAAAGTATCTTTCACCCTGAGATTAGTACATTAGCTGTTTGAGGTCTGGCAAACCCCCTCCCCCCCAGATCCCATGCTCATTCTTTGCATTGAGGGTCTCCTGGGTAACTCAAGAGGCCAGTTATCGGGACTCTTCTCCCCCGTTCTTGAAAATGGTCTTACTGTGTAGCTGGAGAAGCCTTATTCTCCAGGCTTACAGATCAGCCCTCTGATGCAACAAGTAAATTTCAAAAACTAATGATCAAAGATCATTTATTAACAGGACATGTCATTCATTCATTCATTCATTCATCATTTAGACATGTCTTTTAAAAGGCCAAACCAGGTAGGGAAATTTCAGCTGTCCTTCTCAGTGAGCCCTGGGGGATGGGAGGAGATACACATCCACCCAGGAGCGGGAGAACCTTCCCTCAGTATACTTTGAATGCTCACAGAGGCTCAAGAGCCCTTCCATTTCTCGCAGGAACCAATTCCTCATCCCACAGAGGCAGGCAAGGAGCAAGTCTCCCACCTTGAAATCCAGGAACTCTCTTTCTAGTTCTGTGACCCTGGGCAAGTTTTCTGTTGCTCCTGGTTAAGTTTTCTGTTGCTCCTGGTTTGCTTCCCTGATTAGAGAACGAGGAAGGAAATTCAGAAAGTATTGATTGGCCCAGTGACACAGTGTGTGTGAAATTGCTTCAGGAGATAATGTGCTATCTTTTATTATCATCATTAATCCAACATACCGTTCGCTGGCCAACACTTGTGTAAAGGTTAAATTCTCTCAAAGTTTCCCAAATTAAATCAGAGATGATAAAATTCCCCTTAGGAATTATGTTACGACACCTTTCATTGCTGGAATGTCGTTCTTTGTACAAGGGTGAGGTGATCCGTTGCTGGTGGGCAGAATGACCTCTGGTGGGTGATGGCAGACAGGCCCGGGACGAGCTGCAAAATATTTCTGAGCAACCAGTGTTGGCTGGCATACCAGCTGTTGCTTCACATCCTACCGCGTTGGCCCATGCCAACCATTCCTTTCTCTGAAGTGCTTCGGCAAAGCCCAGGCCTCCCAAGTGATGCTTATCAGTCCCAGAGACAAGTGCAGTCTAGTGGTTTGAGTCAGCAGGGGTGGGTGGCCGAGAAGTCTCACGTTCTTCCTTGGCGCTCAGGATCCTTCTGCAAATCACATAAGAACATTCATCCTCTCTCTCTGTCTCTCTCATTCACACATACACACACACACACACACACACACACACACACACACACACACACACCTTCCATCACCAAAGACAGAACAGAAAGAGCCCATATCAGTTGGTTTCCTGTGACTCCTACAGAATGAGAGGCTGTTCAGGCACCAACTACAGCTGGTAGCTTATATCTGTTGACCCCAATGATCAGAAATGTCAGCTGGATCCCAGCAACCGCTGAAGCGCAGAGCCAAGACATGTCTTCTAGACTTGGGAGGAAAATACTTGAAAGCACCAAATGATGAGAGTAAACATTAGACACTTGTCCTCTAAACTCAGAGTGGGGACTTCTGGAGTTGACCTCCAGTCCAGATATCTTCCTTTTTCTTAGTCTTTTTATCCCCCCCAATCCGTCTTCTGTTCTTCATTCCATCTAGATGAAAAGCGAAAGCATGGTAGGGAATGATGCAGCCTTGCCCATGAGATATAACAGTAATGAAACTTCATAGGGCAAGACCCTCAAAGCACAATGTTCAGAATGTTGGAACCATTTTGGGGCTGTTCCAAAGACTTGACTTTGTGAGAAAAGAATCCCCCCATCTGTACTCATTCCTCTTAGCACTGGACACTCTGCTGGGTCTTTTTGATCATTGTCATATTTCCATTTGGAGAGAAGCTAGTAATTTCCTAAAGCTTCTAAGAATCTAGTGTCCCTCTCAGACGGATGTGTGGCAGGAATGAAGGTGGGGTGGGGACAGGTCTTCCGTGTGATTAATGAGATCCCCCAGATACCAGGTTGAGCCATCAATCTCACCTCATTGACTTCCAGGCCCTGATTTGAATCCTGTTCCTATTTTAATTCCAGTGGCCCTCACATATATTACCTAATTTATTCCAACCTCACCATGTGGTAGTTTTAAGAGCTCCATTTTGTAGACAGGGATCTGAGTATCCGACAGGTTGAAGATCATGGCCAAACAGTGGTGAATTGGCGAAAGCCAAGATTCCAGTCCAGATCTTTCTGACTTCAAAGCCTGGGTACCTCCCCACCATTGCTGACTTGTTCTGTGTCCATGAGTCATTAAGTAGCTGCAAGCGACAGCTCCTTTTATTAAGACGTGGGCGTTGGTGAAGAGGAGTGCTGCAGAAAGTAATGAGTGTGCTCCCTCTGCTTGCTCAGAGGGTAAAGCTCAACCAGATGTGCCCCGTGGATATGCGCTGTGGATGTGAAATGAAGGGCACTTCTTGCTTCTGCCCACCCCCCAATCCCCACCCTGAGCCTGATGTTGCCTGGGGGGGTGGCCAGGGTTATGTCCTGAGCAAAGAGGCCCTGACCCAAGGAAGGTGACCTGGATCTCAGTGCAGGGACATTCAGAGTTGATGTCAGAACAGAGACATGGGTCAAGAAAGGACCAATGGGATGATGTTGGTACACGGAGAACAAAACAAGCAACAAGACTCTGCATTTCCTCAGTCCTCAGACTCCCTTATAACTAGGGGAAAGTACTCATCTGTGGAAAGACATGGTCCTTCATCAGTGTAGGGGTCAGAGGAAGGGAGGCCATGGGGATTCAGAGAGCCTTTGCTGGACAGCTCAGGGCACCCGGGCAGAGCATGTCAAATAAGGGGGGGGGCAGCGTCTAGCCACCCTGCCGTGGCCCCCTTATCTGCCCTCTGCCAGCTTCTCCTGTGTGGCAGACAGCCCTGGTCTCACACAGAGGGCTGGGGGTGGGGGATGATTGATGAACACACTTTAAGTGCCTGAAAACCTCGGTTTGGGACATCACCCCGTTCCATTGGTGTACGGGCTATAGCCGATGGCCACAGAAAGAAACCTCAGCAAATGGATGGATCCTACTAGCATTTATAGTTGTTTCATTAAGTTTGCACTGTGGGTAAAGCCTGTTGCCTTGAGTGCGATCACAAAAATGGATTTTCTGAAGGGGGCAAAAAAAAAAAAAAAAAAAGCAAACCTCAAACACGTGTAGGAAATGCAAACCCATTTTCATTTACCAAGGGCAGTAACTAACAAAGGTTAGCCTTATGAAAAACAAACAATTTGGGGCACCTGGGTGGCTCCATTGGTTTAGCCTCTGCCTTCAGCTAGGTCAGGATCCCAGGGTCCTGGATCAAGCCCTACATAGGGCTCTCTGCTCAGCAGGGAGTCTGCTTCTCCCCTCTGCCTGCTGTTCCCCCTGCTTATGCTCTCTAAGAGATAAATAAAATCTTTTTTTTTTTTTTAAGAAACTACTTTTAGGAATATAACTGTGATAACTGAGTACTTTTCCAGTTAATCTAGCCTGATGTTACTAGGAGCCAAGGCAGGCCAATTAATATGAAGAATAAACGGAGTGGAGCATTAACCATATTCTGAAGACTTTGGAGTATATAGTTAGGTATCGAAATAGAAGCAGCAACACCGTGTTGGGCATTTGTTGGTGAGGCCCACGTGTCCAAATGAGCAGTTGTCTAGGGGTGTCTACACATGTAGACATGCTGCTTATATGTATAGAGCACAGTCACTTGCCAGTCTTCTAAACATCCCATGGCCTAATGACCTAAGGGGTTTAAGTCACCTCAGAATCTATAGGAACCTCATAAATCTGTTTCATGTACCTCTTATGTCATTCACAGAGCTGAAAATTATTTTTTTCCCTCCTTCTTTCAACATAAAATATAATCACCACTATTTATTGGGAGCTGTGTACCAGGGAGCATCAGAGGGGAGCCCTTCACCTTACTTCCTTCCACCCTCACAGACCCATCAGTGGTAGGTAGTGTTTTTCCCATTTTATAGTTGGGAATGAGTCTCAGTGAGATCAAGTGACTTTCCCCAAACCAGGACTCCAACCAGGTCTGTCTGCCAGACCGCTGCTCTAGGCACTGGACGGCTCAGCCTGTAGAGTCGCTTGAAAACGCTTCACTGGTGTCAGCTCTAGAGCCATACCTCCTGCAGGGATTTTCAGTGATGAGGCACGAGGCCAAGGAACCACAAACCGAAAAGTGCTGCAAGCCAGAAATGAGTCCATTTGCTAAATTTCAGGACCATGAGTGCACAGGTGATGACCATTCACTCTCAGAGGTGAACTTCATAACCTAGTCATCTTTTCCACTCTAGTCTAAGATCCATGCCGCGCGAAGCCTGAGTGAGATCGCCATTGACCTAACCGAGACTGGCACGCTGAAGACCTCAAAGCTGGCCAACATGGGGAGCAAAGGGAAGATCATCAGTGGCAGCAGCGGGAGCCTCCTGTCATCAGGTGAGCAGGGCTTTTGTGGAGAAAGTGGGGGAGGCTGTCGCTCGAGCATGGCTTCCACCCCAGAGTGGCTCTGGGGAAGGTCACAGAGTGGCAGCTGCTGAGGAGGCAGCTTGGCAGGCTCGCCAGGAACTGGCTCCGCTTGTGAGACCCAGGTTTTGAGCCAAATAGGAATCTGAGAAAACTGCCAGAAGTGCCAAAGGGTGGGGGGCGGAGAAGCCACAGCAGAGCCGCTAGTGTGGGAAGGACTGTTGGCCGCATGCGTCCCCTCAGGCACCCTCCAGAGCCTGCTGAGTGCCGATGGCCAATGGCCACTGTCTGGAATGTCAAGTCCAAGGACAAGGTGTGGTTGGTTCACTCGTGTGTCCTTAAAGGAAAATTCCACTAAGGAGGGCCTGAAGGCAGGTGCGTGGTGCAGGGCAGACCTGCATCCTATTCCCAGGGTATCTCCTCGGGACTTTAGAAGGTACAGACACTCTTGGCCTTTGGCAAGGAGAGTCTTGTGTCACGGAACGCGGTGTAGGAGTTGAGCCCTTTTACACCTGAGCGTCCAAGGGTCTGATTCCAAGTTTGTTTCTAGGAGCCCTGGGCAATTCATTTTGTCCCTGGATGCAGGAGAGAGGCCCTGGTGGCTCTGATTGGGCTGACTGGTGTCCAGAGTAGGGATGCAGTGACAGGAAGAGGCGGAGGTTTGAGGAGCGCAGGAAGAGGGAGGGAGAGGATCATTGTTTGGAAATGCTAGAGAGTATAACTGCTGCAGATTACTCCTCCGGCCACACCTTTGAAGGCTGATTGTTCTTGGGCTCAGCGTACCTTTGCCTCTGAGCCCTGAAAGGGAAGCAAGAAGTCTTTGTTTGCCCTACGTCATCTTCTCTTTCTTCTTCTTTTTTTAAAAAATTCTTTCCTGCTCTAGCATTCTGGAAGCTGTCTCTGAATATTAAATCCCTAGCATCATCTTTGTTCTGCACGGGTTGGAGCATCCCTCTATCTTTGGCGGCCCTGCCTCCTGTGTTTTGCTAAGGCTCCGCCCCGTAGGGTTTCCTGAGGCCCCGCCCCCTGTGGCCTACCGAGGCCCCGCACCCTAAGGTTTATAAGGCCCCGCCCTTCATATGCAGCCTTTCCTTCTGTCCTCCTCCTGCTTCCACCCCTGGTGATGGGGACAGGAGCTCCTTCACTCACAGAGGCATCCTGCCCATGCAGAGGATCTTGCCTCCTGCCTCCATCAGCTTTGTCTAGATTCTTCCACTCCTCACTGCACTTCCTCTTTGTTGCACCTTCCCTATTGTGTTTCTCTTCTAGCTTCTCATTTTCTTTTCACCTGGTGCTTCCGGGGTTGTAAAAGAATGGAAGCGAAAACATTACCAAAGAGAAACAAATAAGCAAGAATTAGCAGTGAAGAGTGATGTCATAAGAACAAAATCCTGTTGCTTACTGGGGTCTTTTTTTTTTTTAAGATTATTTATTTATTTATTCATGAGAGACAGAGAGAGAGAGAGAAGCAGAGACACAGGCAGAGGGAGAAGCAGGCTCCATGCAGGGAGCCCGATGTGGGACTCGATCCCGGGTCTCCAGGATCACACCCTGGGCGGAAGGCGGTGCTAAACTGCTGAGCCACCCAGGGATCCCGGGCATGGGGGTCTTTCTACAACCATCTAGTGACTACACGTGTTCACATGCCATGTGTTTTTGTGGAAGTTCTACGTTTTGCGTTCTTTTCTTTTTTTACCTGGAAATGCAGTTGACACACAGTGTTACATTAGTTTCAGGTGTACAAGGTAGTGATCCATCACCTCTGGTCTCCTGTGCTCACTGCAAATGTAGCTGCCATCTCTCCCTGTTAAAATATCGTTGACTATATTCCCTGTGCTGTACGTTTCATCCCTATGACTTAATCGTTCCATCTCTGGAAGCCTGGACTTCCCACTCGCCTTTACCTGTTTTACTGGTCGCTCCATCCCTCTCCCTCTGTCAACTACCAGTTCTCTGTATTTATGGATCTGTTTCTGCTTTTTGCTTGTTTATTTGTTTCTTTTTTAGATTCCACATCTGAGTGAAATCATATGGTATTTGTTTCTCTGTCTGACTTATTTTACTTAGCATAGTACCTGCTAAGTCCATGTTGTCATAAATGGTAAGATCTCATTCCTTTCTATGGCTGAGTAATACTCCATTGTGTATATATGCCACGTTAACTTTATCCATTCATTTGTCAGTGGACACTTAAATTGCTTCTGTGTCATGGCTATTGCAATAATTTCATTCTTTTCCTTAAATGAAGCCGCCAATATAAGCTTCATGCCCCACAAAACCTGGATCTACCTCTCCTTCATCACCATAGCATTTACCATAAACCCCTTGCCACCTCGATTCTCCAGATTTTTTTCATCAGCACAGAGAGCCGCATGATCATCATTTCTGAGGTCCTGAGGTTTATGGTAAAAGCCTAAAGAATGGGGCTGTTGTGTATCGAAGAGAATGTTGTACAAAGCTCCAGACCCCTGCCTCAAATTAATAGCCACTCTCAATCCCCTGCTGAGTGGCAGAGGGCAGAGCCAGAACCAAACCCTGTATTTATACTCTAGACACTTCCAACTCTTGTTAAAACCCATAGTCTCCTATTCAAGCTTGGATTTATCTGCTGACAGTCCTCCTCATCCAGCCACAAATGAGCCCGGCTCATCCTTCAGGCTCAGTGAGATGTGCATCTCTGCTGTGGTTTCATATCCATTTGGAAGTCTGGGTACTTTCTGAGTATGGCCTGGTTATATCCAAAAGGACAGTGAATTCTTGTAACCTGAGGGTTCTTAAACTTACAGGTGCATCAGAGCCATTCAGAGGGCAGCTCAAAACACAGATAGTTGAACTGCAGCCCCAGAGGGTCTGACTGCAGGTTCTAGGGTGAGCCTGAGAATTGGCATATACAAGTCCCTGAGAGATGCTGATGCAGCCAGTCTGGGGACAGCACCTTGAGCCACACTCTTCCTGCTAAGAAAGAGCTAGAAGCCTGAGGTGATGGTGTTGCTCAGGGACACAGAACACAGGTATCCCCAGTTCCAGACCTGTGTTTTGGGCCATCTCCTCTGGCCCCTCATATCTGTCAGCCTCTGGAGCACCACGCCAGTAACCTAACAGAGTCACAGACCAGATTGTGCACTGGATTGTGCACTCACACCTCCTGACCTTGAACGGGCACCACTCAGTCATCAGCAAATGAGATCCAGGCATCTTTAAGATTAGGAAACAGTTCGTCTGTGTGACTGCCACCAGCCTGACAGACAGAGTATTATAATGTTATAATATCAAATGAAGCAGCTTTATACTGAGATATTAAAGTAATTTTCAAATTTGTGGTGACTTCATGTCAAGGGCCCCAGGCTAAGCTGTTTGGGAGTGGCTGGAGGCAGCTAAAGGGGCGACAGTGGTGGGCCCTGGCCCCCTGGGCTCTTTCCCTGCCTGCTGTCTGCTGTACCACTGTGCGAGAGGAGGAGCCTGGGAAGTAGGAGCCACACCCCATGACCAGACCCAGCAGCATCTTAAACCCTGCCTAGCCCTGCAAGCTGGAGCCTGAAGCCATGCTGAGGCTGAGGTCATTGGGGAGGCCTTCGTCCCGTGACTTAGGAAGACCATGGAGGGAGAGATCCCCAAAAGGAAAGAATATAGGCCATCAGTTCACAAAGGGGATTTCTAGTGTCCATAGATGTGGACATCTAGCTGGCTTACATGTCTCCATAGCTGGCTGATATCCCACTGCGTTCTTTTTGTACCTTGGTGTCCTCTTGCCTAACCATTTCTTGAGAGTTCCTTAGTCATACACTCCCACAGATGTATTGCTTTTCCAGGAAAGCCCTGATTTTAAACACTTTTTTTTAGTACACTTGCCAGACTCCCATGTTCTACTTTTCATTTGAAAATATGCATCTGATTTAGTATCCTATTTGGTCAATTCGTTTCTCTCCTTCACCGACTGCCTCATGCTTAAAAAAAAAAAGAAAGGAAAAGGAAAAGAAAAAAAGGTGTCTAATATATATTCTTTAAAAACATTTTGAGACATGAATCTTTATTTTAAAGTACTTTTTTTCCATGGTCGCCTGGGCGCCTCAGTCAGTTGAGCATCTGGACTATTGGACTGAGCTCAGGTCCTGATCTCAGGGTCATGAGTTTGAGCCCTGCTTTGGGCATAGAGCCTACTTAAGAAAAAAGAAAATCCTTCTTTCTACTTCTAGCCCAGTGTCTGGCACCCAGTAGATACTCCAAACATGATTTTTAAAATGTTTAACATTACATTTGTATGACTTATTTTTAACTGGAAATAAGTACATTTTGAACCTCTTCATCAATTTCCCCCACCCCCATCTCTGGCAACCACCAGTCTCTTCTGTGCATCTATGAGCTTCAGTTTTGGGGTTTGTATTAAGTTCCACATATAAGTGAGATCATACATATGGTATTTGTTTCTTTATCTGACTTATTTCACTTAACATAATGCTGTCAGGTTCCATCTGTGTTTTCCCAAACAGCAATATTTCATTCATTTTTATGGCTGAACAATATTCCATTTATGTATATGCCACATTTTCATTATCCATTTATTGGTGGGTGGTTTTCATACCTTGGCTGTTTTAAGTAATGCTGCAGTGAATGGAGGGGTACGTGTATCTTTGTGAATTAGCGTTTTCATTCTCTCCAGGGAAGTATCCAGAAGTGGAATTGCTAGATCATATGGTAGTTTTATTCTTAATTTTTTTGAGGACCCTCCTAGAGTAGCTGCACCAGTTTGCATTCCCACCAACAGCTCACAAGGGTTCCTTTCTACATCCTCACCAATATTTGTTATTTCTTCTGTTTTTGATTCTAGCCATCTTGACAGGTACTGTATCTCATTGTAGTTTTGATTGGCATTTCCCTGATGATAAGTGATGCTGAACACCTTTTCACATGTTTGTTGGCCATTTGAATGTCTTTGGGAAAATGTCTAATAAGGTCCTATGCCCAGTTTTTCATTG